CTCCGCGACCGGCCACCACGGGCGGGGAGCCGACGTGGTTCTGTAAGTCCCGGCGTTTTTCCTCGATTTCGGCCCCTGGGGCCCATTATCGGGCCCGGGAGTGTCAGAAATGGGTCCAAGGACTAACAGCTATCCCTGGGAAGGGGTGGCGACCTCCAGGGCCGCGCATTGAAATACACCATCCAGCGCAGACTCCAGATATATCAGCAAACTGACATGAAGTGGACAGGAGTGGACTTGAGTAGACTGGACTCGAGCAGATTGGACTGGACTGGGGTGGGCTCCACTCCACTCTACTCTGCTCTGTTCCACATGACTCTACTCTACCATCTGCTCTACTCTACACTACTCTACGCTACTCTACGCTGCTCTACGCTGCTCTACGCTGCTCTACGCTGCTCTACGCTGCTCTACTCTACCTTACCCTAACCTACCCTAACCTACTCTATCCGAGCCCCCATTTGCTCTCTCTACTCTCCTTTCCTCTCCTCTACTCTGTTCTGCTTTACTCTACTCCATTCCACCCGACTCTACTCTGTTATCTAGCCTGCCTTACCCTACTCTGCTCTGCTCTGCTCTCCTCTGGCCTTCTCTACTCCACCCTACTTCACCCTATCTCCGTAGCCATCTTGGCTCAAGCGGTTGCACGCTTGGCACTCGGGCGGCCGTCCGCGAAATGGACGCCTCGCGCCTCGCTGGATGGGCTCTCTCGGTTTCGGACGGCGCTGGCCTGGTGGCTGCCGCGGTCCGTGCCGCAGCTCTTGCCCGAGGGGCCGCGGCGCACGGCCACCAGCGTGGCGCGCTCGGCTGTGTTGGGGGTGGCTTTCGCCGCCTCGGCGCCGCCCGGCGAACCGCCAGGTGGCGACGGCGCCGCGCAGGAAAACATAAAAGGAAACGCCGCCGCGCCGCGCCTCATCTCGGAACCGAAGCTCGAGAGGCGCGGCCGCCGCCGCCAGCGCCCGCTGGCGCGTCCTGCGGCTGGGCGGGCCGCTGGGGAGCGCCCCGTCGAGCATGGCGAGGCTGACGGCGTGGCGTCGAGCCTCAGTGATGAGCTGGCTGATGGCGTGCGGCCCGCGGGCCCCGCTGAGGTCAGATCGGGCTTGATGCTCAACAGCGCGGCGCTGGCGTCGGATGGCGCGGGCCTCGCCCCGCCGACGCCGCGCTGGAGGAGGAGGGGGGAGGAGGTCGGCGAAGTGGCTCCCGCAGCGCTGACGCGGATCCGCGTCTCCTCTGGCACGTTCGCTGGGCGCTTGTGGCTTTTCGGGTCACAAAAACGAACGGTTTAGCAGTATGAGAAATAAAATCATCAGGGACCTCACCCATCCACCTTTTCATCCTTATCATCAGGTCAGTGCCCGCATCATGATGACATTCCTGAAACCGAACAAACAAACGAGCAATCGCCGCCTGGGAGCTCTTGGCCTCTACCGGCGTAGCACGCGGAGAGCGGGGCAAGATGCCTTGCGCTGCTCGGAAGGTGCGAAGCAGGGCAGGGACATAACTCCTTTGAGACCAGCCAATCAAGGTACGATACAAACACACCTCGTCGACATCCCTGATGGAGATTTCGAAATTCTCAAGAATGTCCAGGATCTCGGAACAGCTCTGAACCAAACGAAACTTCGTCTCCCGAGAAACCACTTCCAGATTATTCAACGATCCAACAAAACCCAGGGAGGACATGTTCGTCAACATTTTGTAGTTTGAAGCATGCAGTGGACCGATCACCAGCAGCTGCAGGGCATGCTCGTGCGCCTTGCGCGCGCCAGTAGTCTGCGCGACCTGCATTACGAAAGAGAGGATACTCAAGCACAAGGTATGGAAGATGGAGATGTTCTTAGTAACGGTGAGACCGGCCCGCAGAAGGACCCGCACTCGCGGGGTGAACTCCCGGGCGGGTCGCATCCGATATTCCTCGGGGGCGGTCAAATCAATCATCGCGCCCAAATACTCGCAACATGTCAAAACTTGAATTCCACTCATCTCTGGACACTGAGTAAGAAGGAACTCGCGAACGCGAGCTTGGAAACGCACGCAATGGACAAGTACGACGAATCTGTGAAGATTCAGGGCAAGGCCAACTGCGGCATCCAGGCGGCGGATGAGTTGGAATAGTAGCTGCAGGTCGGCTAGGGTCTCACGGAGTCCATGGAGGCAGTCATCTGCGTTCTCAAGTTGGAGATGGAGCACTTCGCGACAACGAGCGCCCACAAAAGGCCATCAGAGGAGCCACCCCGAGACATGATGATGCCATGGAAGCAGGACCCCCCCGTCGCACTCCGCGGGATACATCAATGGATGGGAACACTTGCCCACGGAGGGAGATCATCTGAGCGTTAAAATAAAACGTGCGATACAACAACAACAGCCGCGCCCAGACGGCGCTTTGGCAAGGAAAACTGTGACAGATGGCAACGTGCGGGCACATGCAAACCATATACAAAAAAACATGGGGCACATGCAACACGTGCGGGCACGTGCAAAACGCGCGGGCACATGCAAACGTGCGACAGAACCGAACAATAAAGACAAGGGCCCCCATAAGGACCATGCCCTCCAGGAACAAGTCAATCGATTTAGAGGAAAAAGAACTATGCACATACACCGATTCTGGCCAGGCCCATCCCGAGCCCAGGATCGGTGCATACGCCCTCCTACCTTGGCTAGGAATGTATATGCACCGATCCTGGGTCAGGGATGGGCCTAGCCAGGATCGGTGCATGTGCATAGTTCCCTTCGCCCGGCGATTGAGAAGGGAAGGCGGCAGAATAGTCCGCCAGAGCGAGAGAGCCAGCATCATCATTCCCGCGAACGTGCGGGCACACGCAAAACGGGCGGGCACATGCAAACGTGCGATAGAACCGAACAATAAAGACAAGGGCCCCCATAAGGACCATGCCCTCCAGGAACAAGCCAATCGATCGAGAAGGGAAGGCGGCAGAATAGTCCGCCAGAGCGAGAGAGCTAGCATCATCACTTCCGCGAGCGTTCGGCCAGGGTCCAAGCCTCGGCTCGCGCAGTGTGGGCAGCCATGCTGCGACCAGAAGCGCGCGCCTCTCATGGCTGTCAAGCTTCCTTTGCTACCTCGTTCAGGGGGCGAGACGAGACATGCAGTCGCTCATGATTTGAGCGTCCGCGCTGGCTACCGAGAGAAGTCGGCGCTTTCGGGAGAGCGGTAAATGTGATGTCCAACATCATCTTGATATTCGCCGTTCGGATGGCCCCGCAGAAATTATCGATTTGGCCAGCAACCGGATCCCGGTAAAAAGGAATAGAAGACTCGAGGGGCATCTCCAAGGCGCCGGCAAATATCGGGTGCCCCATCAAGCCCAGGAGTGCTGTGCTTCCGCTTTTGGATACTGTCCCCGAATAGGCGGCGTAGTCAATCTTCCACTGGATATCCGATGCGAAGGGAACCTGGCGGACAACAGTGAGCAACTCAGGCCACTGGGTTCGGTCTTCAGCCTTCGCACTGGAAACATCTCCCCAGCGAATCCCCAGGGCTTCGGCAAAAGCCCCCGGGGAAAGGGGCGGGGCTGGTCATTCCCGTCCACGTCTTCTTGAAGCCAAGTGCGACGACGGAACCGCTGCCAAAGAAGACGCCATCTATCAATCTCGCGCTCCCGCTTCAAACGTTGGAAATCATCTGGTTCATCATTCTCAAACCCTAGGAGTCTCGGCATCCAAGATCTTGGAGAAGAGCTCCCGCGCATGCCGACGCAACGGGAGCAGGTCAACACGCTCCAGAATCGAATCATCAATGAATTCGGACAATTTAGGGTATCGCGTTAGAACGTTGTCTATGAGTCGGATATTCAAATGGCGGAGCCCTCGTATAGCTAGCATGGCCCAATTATGACGCCCCCCATGCGTGGTGACCACGCGGTACTTAATGCGCTGGCGGGCACGAGCAGCAGCAGAGTGCATGCAACGCTCGGGCCATGGGCATGCTTCGCTGCCGTCCGACAGCGGCGGGGCGCTCATGGGCTTCTCCAGCTCATCCACAAACTCATTAAACATGGCAAGCCAGAGCGGGATAGTCATGCTTCCTTGACCGGCAGGATTGTGCATGCCGAGGGAGGCCGAAACAAGGATGTGGACAGAGGGCACGTCGCGCTTCAACTTAGATGGTGGAGGTTTGGGTCGTCATATCAGCAATAATGGCGCTCGGTGCCGAACAATAAATACGGTCCAATCTGGCAGTGTGCTCTATCATGTTGTCAACAGTGGCCCGACGGGCGTCGAGGTCTTGAGGGAACTCAATGAGGTCAACAAAAAAATAATTCAAACAGAATTCCAGTCGCCCATGAGAACCGTGATCTGTTCAACTCCAAGAGGAACCCCACGGCGAATAGAGAGAAGCACCGACAAATGCGCGTTGTAAGAGTCAGAGGTGTTACGTAGGCATGTGTATGTTGGCTATATTGAAATTCCCGCGGGGTCACTTCATTGTGGTGTGTGTGTGTGTGTGTGTGTGTGTGTGTGTGTGTGTGGGGGGGTCCTACCCTCGATCAGTGGGGCGCGTGACGCATCGGAGAAGCAAGAAACCAACTTTCGGCTCGCAGCCGTGAAACACCTCCCGTCGCACTGCCATCAGGAAAGAACAAGAAGCCGAAAGTATGGGATGGGAGTTGCATAGAGAGATGGTCGACGTCACCAGCGCGTCCGTGGGTTTCCTGGGTAGCAATCATTTCCTAGGAACGACATAATGATTCCAGTGATCTCATCTTCCCTGCAGCACGAGTCTGGCAGAGGGACTGAACACACATGGGCAGACCATTCGCATTCCAGGTGCATGCAGAATGAGCGGCCAAAGGGGAGAAGAGGGCGTTAAAATCATTGGGCGGCTCGCACGGCGAATTATCCCTCGGAGAGGGGCAAACGTGTGGATTATCGAGCAGGCTAGAGAAAATGACCTCCGGCATTACCTTATCACCCACATATCGCTGCTCAGCGGGTCGCGTTCCCCGAAAATGTCGCACCCTGGCTCCGCTGTCCCA